TTGCCTTGCATCATTAGCTGGTGACAAATATAAATAGATAGTTAAACAGATAGATATAGAGATAGATAAAAATAAAAGACAATCCATACATGAAAGTATCCTTCAAAACCAAAATGCCACAACACAAACCTTTTTCCTATTTGTGTCTTTAGTTCAAGATAGATCCTGTTTTGTTTTTTTAAAAATTCTCATTTTATTTAATACTGAAGTATATTTATTTAGTTTTCTTTAATATTGCATTTAAATGTGACTCATGCACATCCCAAAACTGGGGAGCTTGTTAAACTTGGCCTCCAGGGCCAAGGCCTCCTTAGCTTTGGCCCACTCACGCACATGTGCTAAGAGGCCAGGAGTACAGGTGACTTCTAAACACCAGAGACCCCTATCTTCAGGCAGAGAGGACTGGTCTAGGAAAAGAGCCCTCCACATAGAAGGGTCAGGGCTTCCATCTTCTGGCAGAAGAGAAACTGGAGGATAAAGGCCCACCACCCAGACTCCTCAGGAGACAGCTTCAGGGCTCTGAGCAGGTCCAGAGCCACAGAAAACCAGAGTAAGGGAGGCAGCAGCAGTTTCTACAAGTGTAGGCAGAAGTCTTGAGGAGAGAGAAGGACTCAGCATGTGGGGATGTCAGACAGGGGCCCAGATAGAGACCTCCAGGGAGAGGGGGCCTGCTAAGAAATACCACCAGGCAGCAATAGGGGTCAGGGTGGTCACTGAAACCACCAATAGAGCTCACCTACATCTGAATTCTGAGGTGCAGTTGGCAGGTGTGGGCTACTTACTATGTGGGAGACTCTGGGTTTGATCTCCAGAACTACAGGGAAAACTGGGGGAGGGGTGGAATGCCAGGCCCACCCTCAACAAGTCAGTGGCTCTCTCCATGGCCTGAGATCTAGGCAACAGGGTTACAGAGCACACATGAGGCTCCAGACACACAGGCCACATGCAGGTACCATGGATGTCTCCCTAGGACAAGAAAAATAAGCTTCTAAGCTCAGTGAGAAACCACCCAAGAGTTACCCAGGGGAGAATGTGACAGGTATCTGGGTTTGGTTATTTATGTTTATTTAGAAAAAGTCCTGCTAAGTGGCCCAGGCTGGCCTCTACTTTGCAATCCTCCTGCCTCAGCAGTCTAAGTCACTGTAATCCCAAGGATGCACCCCCAGGTTCAGCTTCTTTGTTGTTTTAAGATGATACTGGTTACTTTGTGAAACAGAATAATATAGAAAGTCATTGACCATCAACCCCCTCTGTACATTTGTTCCCCAGGAAACTTGATCTAAGCAATAAAAATTAGTGATTACTAAGAATGTAGTATGTGCCCAGATACTAAGGTACACAATATTCACATATGATATTTTAGTGAATCCTCAGGAAACTTTTTAAGGATATGTTATTATTCCCATGTTGCTAATGAGAAACTGAGACATGGGGAAAGTGAAAAAACTAACTTGTCGTCACAGACAGTCCTTAGACAGAGCCAAGATTCTAATCCTCTCTGGGTGGGTGCTGCATGGAACACCCCACGCCTCTTACAGCTGGGAAGAAACCTGGAGACCAGAGGAAGCCACCAGCCTGCCTACAAGAAGGCCAGGTGTCTGGTTTCCATGATGACATCAGCATGGGGTACCAGGAGGAATCCAGAGGGCTCTGAAATATCATGAAAGGACTATGAGTCTGCAGGTCTAAGGTGGGAAACCCTGGGTGAATTCTCCAGGACCACTGACTGGGAGTCTAGCCTGGGAGGTCACTGTGGGGCTTGTCCCCATGTTCCCAGACTGCACATCAGCCTTGCTCAGGGCTGGGAAGAGATGGGCTGGTCCTGTGAAAGTTAGACACAGAGTCAGTGTGTGGAGGCAGACAGGGCCTGAGGCTGGGAGGCCATGGAGCTCTGCGAGGGAGCCTGAGTCCTCTGCTGAGGGCAGTTAGCACCTGTGGGTCAAGGGGAGAAATAGGCCATGCATTCCAGAGTACTAAGTGCCTGATGCAGATGGCATACAGGAAGATGGGGGAAGCCATTGTCATTCCTGTGACAACTGCAGGTTACCTCTTTATCCTCTGCTTACCTGGAATCACCAGATCTTATTAAAACTGAATCTTCCAAACAGCACCTGCTTCTGAATATCCAACAGGGATTCAGTCATTATGGTAAGTGAAAAAAAAATGGTAGTATGAGTACAGGATTCTAAGTTATTGGCCCCAAACCCCAGGCCTTGTACCATCCCACTCCCCAGGTACTCAAACAGGAATTTCAATAAAATATCTTATTAAGGATCTTGGAGCCATAATCAAATAAGGTGAATTTAAGAGAGGGAGAGAGTACACACTGGATCTGTCTTCAACATTGAAGCCCATCCATCTGCACATGGAGGCAGAAGAAGGAGAATTTCAGGCCATGAAGACTGGATGTGAGGAGACATTCTAATGCTGCTTTTGGAGGTGGCAATTAGGGCAGTGTTCAGGAATTATGTGCTGATGGCCACAGAGAAATTGGAACCTCACCATACAACTGTGGAAAGATGACTATGCCTCAGCCACTGGACCTGGAAGAAGACCCTGAACTTATTAAGCAAACAGAGCTGCCCACTGACTGCTCCATTTCAGTCTTGTCAAGCTGAGTAGAGGACCCAGCCTGGACTCCTTAGGGACACACCTGGGAAGAACACACTGCTCATAGGTGGGAATTTTTTCCTCAATCACAGAAAACTAGGAGAGACATCACACTGCCATATCTCATATAAATGATCAGAAAACTAAACACAAGAGCAATTATCCCACACGGCTCATGGCTGAGGGTACCATCAGCTCTCTGCTCTGTCTGCAGTGTGGTCTGGTTCTGCCTTCTTCTGCCACAGAGATCCTCCTGATCTGTCCACACCCACACAATCCAAGCTGAATTTGGGGCCTTAAAGAAGAAGGAATTGGTGGCATTTCAGGTAAATGGATGGAAGTGGAGAACATCATGACAAGTGAAAGAGACAGATTCTGGAAGGTGAGGGTCCCATGTCACCCTCCTGTGCAAAAGCTAGAGCAAAGGAAGGGGAAAGGGGGCTAAGGTGTCATAGGAGACAAGGACAACCAGTGGCAAAGGAGACAGAGATGGAGGGTCAGGGAACTGGGACAGGGAGGAAATGTGGAAGGAATGGACCACATGACACCATGTGCTTGGACACAGACACCACAGTACAGCAGTAAGCCCAGCTCCACAGAGGACTAGAGCCCACCAATGACAAAGTAGCAGATGAATAAACAGAAGGAGGATAGGAGAGAAGAGGGAGGGGGGGATGGAAGAAAGGGAAAGAGGGGGCACCAGGGACTAAGGTGGAGCACAGTGTATCCCCTGCCTGCAGATTGTGCCCAGGGAACCATCTGTTTTGCAGAACACCAATGAACCAATAGGAGCATTTCAAACAGTAAATTGGGACCTGAAGTAGAGTCATGGAAAAGGGAAATCTACTTACCTAGAAAATATCTTTATAAGTAAATCAGGTATAAACTATGGAAATCAGTTGAGATAACCAGATCTAAACTACACCTGAGATGGCTCAGGCCCATCATGAGATCCTCCAGGAAACACTCTGAGGATGTCCTTAGGGCAAGGAGAAGACAGAGGAGTGATCTGCCCACCACTTTCTCCCAAGGGGTCCTGTGCTCTGGAACTTTCTGAGACTCCGCACTTTTCCTATTCCTGCCCAGTGAGTTCCAACCCATTCTCCTTAATTTCCCTTATTCTGCTCATTCAGTAAAAGCACAGGAGGACCTCAGCCTGGGAAAACTGCAAACAGGCATATTTCACAGGTTCGGAGGATGCTTCCCACTCAAGCAGGACAGCCACAGAGGTTTAGTTAAACTGAGAGACACATGGCAGGGTCCTCAGCTCCTGGTGGCCAATGTTCCACAGAGTGAAGAGGGTGTGTCAGAGGGCCTAGACTCAGGAGAAAAGAGGCACAGCCATGTTGGCCAACACAACACAGTCTCCCTCTGTCCCACCCGTGGATGAGGAGGGCTGAAATCACTGTCTCTGTGCAGGGAAAAGGACCTTCTCCCCAACACACCTTGGGGCTAGTCCCAGGAGAAGAGTAGTGCACATGGAACCCCCGAACATGGAAACAGTGCCTGAGTGTAATTCTGACCTAGGGAATCTACTTTAAAACCCAGGGTGGTGGCACCTGATCCCTAGTGTCCCTGACAAGGAGGAGCATATGGGGAGGGATGTCTCTATCATTTATGAGGAGGAACTAATGCAGAATCCTCCCTGTCCACACTGTGCAGTGGGCTCAGGGGTCCATCTCCTGGGAAATGTTTGGTGGTTCTGAGTGTTAAATGACTAGGACAGGATGGCCACGAGTTATAGACCTTGCCCCCAGAGCTTCACATTGACTACCTCCTGGGACATTCTCCTTGTCCTCTTTCCTTGAGCAGGGCTACTTTATCTTGAGCTAAAACAAGATTTCTCTTCCCACCAGCTTCTTGTCACACCCTGTTCTTATTTCATTCACTGGGCCAGGAAAAGGTGACATCTACATTGTCCCTGATACTCTTTTATTTCTACAGGTAACATCAGACACCAGAAACCCTTGAACTTTTTCAAATGCATGCTGTGACTGGAAGAAATTTCACACATCAACAATTCTGAGGTGGCACATGTCACCTCCTCTTCTCAGCTGAGAGGAAGACAGCAGGATGGTCATTTCTCTCACAGAGGCTGATCTGCAGGCCACCTCCATATCTGTGGATCTATGCTGTCTTAGGAGGGCAGTCCCTGGGCACCATGACCCCACACAGAGTGAGGCTTCCATGATGAGGCCTCCTGCCCACACCACAGGCACCCAGGGCTATTTCTCTGCTCTATTGCCTCCAACTGTAGAAGACATCTGATGTCCCTGGGCTCACAATCAGGCCCCTCCCTCCCTCCCTCATTCTCCCCACCCAGCACCCACCAGGGCATTTGCATGCTGCTCCCTGGGGATGACTTTACTGCAAGGCTGACATAAAAGCTCAGCTCTAACCTGCCCTTCACTCACCAGGACTCCTCAGCTCAGCTTCTCAAAATGAGGCTCCCTGCTCAGCTCCTGGGGCTGCTGCTCCTCTGGATCTCTGGTGAGGACAAAGGGGATGGGGAGGGAGAAGTGGGGGAGAGAGGGGAGCACTGTTGCCCCATTCTGGCCATGTGTGCTCTGTCCATATGAGAGATGTGCAAGTCTGTCCTCCAGGATGAGGCAGCTGAGGTGAATTGATGTGACAGAGTATTCCAGAAGGAGCAAGGGACTGGCTCTGATTAAAGTTGTCACATAATGAGAGGGATGTGGAAGGGAATTCTAGAGAGGCTCTTGGAGCTTACTCAATTGGAGTTCTTTATGTATATGAATAGTTTTAGTGTATAAATAAGAAACAAAAATTAATTTAGTCTGAAATATACAAAAAAGAAAAAATGCAAAAAGTTTTCTTAAAGTTTCTATATAACCGCGCATTACTCTGTGATTTTTCCAGGAAGCAGTGGGGATATTGTGATGACCCAGACCCCTCTCTCTGAGCCCTTCACCCCTGGACAGTCAGCCTCCATCTCCTGCAAGTCCAGTCAGAGTCTCCTTCACAATAATGGAAACATGTATTTGCACTGGGTGGTGCACAAGCCAGGCCAATCTCCACGGGGTCTAATATATGTTGTTTCCAACCAGTATACTGGGATCCCAGACAGGTTCAGTGGCAGTGGGTCAGGGACAGATTTCACACTGAGAATCAGAAGGGTGGATCCTGATGATGCTGGAATATATTACTGTGTGCAAGCTACACATTATCCTCCCACATTGGTGCAACCCCAACAAAAACCTCCCTTCCTGGGTGGCCCAGCTGCCACATGAGCTGCTGGTCTGGGCAGCAGCTCAGCAAATTCTCTGGCCTGTGAGAGGAAGGTGCTGGGAACTCAGAGAATAGGTGCAGCTGAGGGCTGTGGACCATGACTGCCTGGGCCACAGCTCAGGCCACACCCATGAGTGGCCCTGTCAGCTGCAGCAGCCTGGCCTGGCATGTGGAAGACAAGCAGAGAGGTGTCCAGGGACCTTCTGAATGAGCAGACAGGATGAGTGTGAACACTGCAGAGGGAGGAGAACCTGCCTTGGGCAGGACTTGGCCAAGTTAGTGAAGAGATGAAATGAAATGCCAGAGGTCCCTCCAAAAGCTGCTCTGTGTGAAATTCAGATTCAAACCAAATAAAACAAACAAACAAAAGAAACAGAAACATGGCTTTGCTTGTAATAACTAATAAAATGAACTTCGATGACATTGACTTATTAATTTTGCATAACATTGTATTTCTCTCATTATTACATGTTACTTTCAACAACTAAACACTGATGATCACTCCAGGTGAACTGGGCTGCACAAAATACCCACAAAAGGACAGATTAATGTCTTTTTCTTTGGGTCCTGAGGTAGCTCCTCTGACCTTAGGGATCCTTGGAGTGAGAGAGAGGAGCAAGTGCTGAATCCTTTTATTGGGAAGAAAACATTTAAATGAGGCAAGGGGTCAGGCTTGAGGGGGTAGAGTCAGCTTTGTGATGTCTGCTGTCAGCATATTGACTGACATCTAGGAAAGCCACACCCAAAGGCAGAGTAAGAGAAGGGGACACACAAAGGGAGTTTCCATGGAACTTTCTATCCCTAACAGGGCAAAGGGCAGGATAAAAAAGGAAACATATGAGTGTAAGTCAAACCTTGGGACCCCCCCCCCATAAAGAGAAAAGACCAAGTCAGGAGTCATACACTACCCCACCAGACTACAGTGATTTTTGAGGTCCCAGGGGTTCATCAGGACTGGGAGGTGAGGTCACTCAATGTGGTCCCCACGATTACAGGATTCAGCAGAGGTACAGGGAAGATAGTCACCCTGCCTAGAACCCCTGGACTGCCTACCTCCATATGGGGAAACATCAGAGCTGGGAAAATCACTCATAAGTCACACAGAGGGTGGAAGGTTGTCCCTGGAGCTCTGCAGACTCTGGGTCTCTAAGGCCTCAGGGATTCTTAATGATCTTGCATAGATGTCCCTCAGGTCACCTCACAGTTTTCTAGTTGGGCCACCAGGGCTACTGATGCTCTGGCCTCTGGTGATGACAGAAGGGATGAGGAAGAAGAATGGGGAGGAGGGTGAGCTCTGGGGTTCCCATTCTGCACAAGGGTGGGGACCTGCGGGCATATGCCCACATCAAATGCCTGGGCATGACTGCCAAGAGATGATCACTAAGGAGAGTCATTATGGTCAAGGTGAATATGATGTGGACCCAAAGGCAGAGATGGGCTGGGAAGGTCAGCAGGAAATGCAGTGGGAGCCCAGATGCCATCCACTGGCCACAGAAACCACAGCAGGCAGTATCATGGGAGAGTCCCCTGGGGATGCGGAAGGTGTCCTCTGCCTTCTGACCCAGCCCTTTTCCTCTCCCTGAGCACAGCACATGTCCAGGGAGAATCCCAGCCTGGGGTCCAGAGCTCAGCTCCTGTCCTGTCTGTCAAGGAGGCTCCAAGCAACTGCCCAGGTCAGCTGGGTTCTCTTCCCCACACTCAACCTGAAGCATAGATTTGTAATATTTTTTAAAGAAATGTCAGGTAACATTTCCTGCAAGATTATAAATTCATGTATAATTAAAAAGTTACCATGAGGAAAAACAATCATAAAGAAATGATTAATGCAAAGAAAATCAAGAAATTAGGGAAATACTCCACTTTACTTTCAAGTCGTTATATTTTGTCTGAGGTTCAGTCTTCTGTGTTGGTGATGCCTTCTTCTGAATTTGAAATTTGGTTTATTGATTTCTTCATTTTCAGGATTTCTGCTTATATTTTTCTCACAATCTCTGACTCTTTATTGAAGTGATCTTTTTCTTCTGTATTTTTTTCTTTGATTTCACTTCTTACACTATCCCTTACTTCACAGATCAAATTTTCTCTGTGCAATCTGAACTCCTTCTTGGACTTTCATTCTACTGTGGTATCAGTGGGTTCTGTTATTGGAGCATCTTGGTTTGCGTGGGCCACATCTTTCCCTTTTATCATGTTATTCCTGTGTTTTCCCATCCAGCAGGATGAATCTAAGGCAGCAAAAATTCTACCTGTAGACCTGAGATGTCCACACTGCCCAGTCCAGTGGCCATACCAATCCTCATCCTGGTAGACCCACCAATGTCACTTAGCACCTCAGAACACCCACCTCCTCCAGGCACTTTCTTACTGAACCTCAGGACATCACTCTTTACTTCTGCTCCCCCTCCCACTGCCCCTTCCCAATCACCTTCCTGGTTCTCCCTCTCCACCTGTCCTAGAACTCAGGCCCTAGGTGGCCCTCACTGCAGTGGTTATTAGAGCTCAGTCCCCAGGGCAGACCTCACCCCTGAACCCCAGCCTCAAACACTCTATGGGCTACTGGGCAACACACTGCCAGTCTAATGCACATGGCCAGCCCCAACATCCAGAGCCACATGCCACATCTCCTCCCAAAGGCCACTCTCCCCACAGTCCTCTCTGTCAGGACAAATGGCATCTCCACCCTTCTTGCTTCTCAAAGCAAGATCTTAGAGTCTTCTTGAGACTCCTTCTCCCACATCCCTTGACCTAACCACAGAAGGCTGTTCACTTCCATCTCCAAAATACACCCCTCACTGCTCCCCCCACTTTAATCTTCATTGGGAACCCAGCTGCCCATGGGGACACTCAGGAGAGAATCAGACCAGGAGCCTGTCCTTGTTTCTGCTGATTCCAGGCCCAGTCATGCTCTGGTTGGATAAGAGACTCTGGCTGGACTTGCAGCTGATGGTGGCTATGTCTCCTGCAGACACAGCCAGGGAGACTGGAGACTAGGTTGTCAAGCTGTCCCCAGAGGCACTATAGTCAGAAAATCAGCATTTCAAGGAAAATGTAGAAACCTTTTAACACAGAACCTGGAGAACATGTCATCTGCACTTGCACAGAACAGGAATCGCCCACATGACTCTTCCAGGAAAAGGCAGGTGGCAGCAGAGGAAGGGCTCAGTGGCACAGAGGATTGTAAAATAAGAATGAGTTTGTAAAACTTTTATTTCTTATTTAAATGTTATCTTAATATGTAATCCACTGTGTACTCATAATTAGAACAGTGATTATGAGGTGTGTAATACACCACAGTCAAATCCCTGAGGACAGCACAGTTGACAACTGTTTCCTACAGAATCCTGCTGCTAGGAAAGCTGGGAGGATCCTCCAGGCCGGAGACCTCCAGGGGGACAGTCAAGAACAGACTTAGCCAACATGAGGCCCCAGTGCCCTGCCCCCTGAGTCCCCTCCAGCTGTTCCACACTCTCCCCCCACACAGGACAGGGCTGGCATTGAGTGACTCCAGAGGAAGTGGCATTGAGTGACTCCAGTGGCCAGGACACTGAGACTATTGCTTGCTGACCACTCTGGGATGAGAACTGCTCCAGAGGAAGACAGAGGACTCCTGGTGGAGATCCCCAGGCAGCCCAGGGCAGGGCCACAGTGAGAACCCCAGGCCCTTGCTATGGCAGCCTCAGCTGGCCAACATAGGGGAGGCCCCTGGAGACCTACCAGAGAAGTTCTTCCATGGCTGCCTCTATGGTCAACAGCCCACAACACCTGGAGACAAACCTTGAGCCAGAACCACCAGGGAAGCCCCTCCTGATTCCTCTCTTACAAAAAGATGTGGGAGAGTAAAATGCTAACACATTAAGCTGTTGGGTTGGGGCACTATTTTACACAGGAGAACATGGGGCACTGTCAGGGTTTAGTACTCATTCCCTCCTGACCTGCAGGAGAGATAGGGAGAACACACCCCAACCAGGGCGAGCCAAGAAAGGAGAGGGCCAATTGACCACCCACACCCAGCCCTCCCTCGCCAGAGGACAATCAGGTGCATCAGGGAGACCAGTCAAGGCTGGAGCTCATTTATTTAGGAAGCACACACAGCTAATATAAGGCACAGGAGCCAATCAAGATAAAGGTCAGCAGGGTGAAGAGAGTTCACATGTACACCTCTTCTACAGGCAGTAAGGGAAGACAAGAGCTGTCCACGAGGGCAGAAGAGTTCTGAACTTATCCTAGAGGTGGTCTGATTTTTCATCACAACCCACAGTAATGCCTTCTGGCTGATTGCCAGCCTTAGCCATGTGTGGCCCTAAGACCAGGAAGTGAGCATTAGTCTGCAAGTTAGGATACCTTTTCTCCATCTCTGATGTGACATTCTCTACATCTCCCCCTTTTTATTTTATTGGGGGGTGTCTGTCTTTCACTCGACAGTGTGCCTGTCTTAGGTTGTCCCCCTCTGGGGATCTTATCCGTCATTGACTACCACTCTGGCTCATCAGGCACTTTACCTGCAGGGTCTGCAGACCCAATGGGAAACCTCAAGGAAGGGAGGGGACTTAGACTTAGACCTATGAAGAAAAACCCTCTTGCCTCTGACTTACACCTGAACATCCTGGTAGGGGCCATGGCCAATCTCATAGGGTTCCCAGTCAGTATCTTGTAAAACAGTATATCACTGCCAGACCGCCATCAATTGAACAGCTCTGGCTCGATCCTTGAGAAACTGGAGGAGCCTGTTAATTACACAAGGTCCAAATGTAAATACAAGAATTATAGTAACCAAGGGGCCTACAAAGGGGAGAAGTTCAGGGAGCCACCCGTTTAGCCCAGTCCATAGAAAGCTTGATTGCAGCTCATCCCCACAATTTTCAAGGTCCTCCTGTAACCTTTTAATCTTATCTTGAACAATACCGGAGCAATTGGCATAGAAGCAGCATTCCTCCTGTAGGAACAGGCATAATTCTCCCTCTCTGGCAGTAAGCATTGACTATTGAGAAGGGCCTTAGTGACACACTGCCTGCAGGGGGAGCCAAGGATACGAAGTATGGCATCAAAGTGTGCCTCCCCAAAGTGCATCTCCCCAAAAAATTATAGTAGGAGGGGAATCACTCTAAGGGCCGCATACAGGCTGGAATCATCCAAATGAGTGGAATTAGAATGCTCCAAAGGAAGTTCCGAAATGGCCATGCCCATGCTGAATGCCATGAGGGAGACAATGAGGAGTCCAGTCACAACCAGGCAAAGCATCCAGAATAGTCTTATCATTCAAATGAGAAAATAAAGAATCATATCTCAAGAGGGGGTGCTCTTGGGTAATCATTACTGTTCTGATGAACAGTATTTTAGATCTCTAGCGGGTACCCAAATTGGACTTGACTCCCCAATTGG